ATGGGTTCAGATGCAGAACAGCAGTGTCACTTGTGCAAGTGGTCATCATCTTTCCAGGAGACGCTCTGTCCCCATTGCATAGGTCTGAACCCCCTCAGTCAAATCATCAACCCGAGCCATCCCGTCCTTCCAAACAGACTCCAGGATGGTGGCTCATGGGATCCTCTCGGTCAGAGCCGTCATGCACTCCCACAACGTGTCACCGACGTCAATCTGCCCCCAACCCCGACGGTGAGGCATCTGCTCTGGGAGTGCAGCGCTGCTGTGGACCTGTGGGCAAAGGCCGGCTCCTTGCAATTCCCATACTTGCCAGCAAGGGAGGTCCTCGACACGCAGCTAGTGCTGCACGGGGTGAACCACCGGAAAATAGCAAAAAAAGTCTTCACGGAGATGTGGCTCACCCTAGCCACCATCAAAGACGCCATATGAACCTCCAGAAACTTGCTGGTAAGCAGGCGCAGGCAGATGCCCCCCGTGGCTGTGATCCGAATGGCAGCAGCAAGGAGAAAAACATACAGAGCTACCAAGAACACAGCCACAAAGAAGAATCACCTGCACCTCTTTGGACGAAGGAGGCTGCACTCCACGGACAGAGGTCCCAGCAGCGGCGGCCAGGCTCTCTGGGTGAGGCAGGCGGGAAGGAGCAACGAGGGGGGGGGGATACCCCTCTGATCACCATTGCTGTTTGGAAGAACGAGACGGCTCCGAACTTCAACAAAACTGGCTACGTATGCTGACTCAAGAATGGGGCCACCATAAGACACCTCCTCTACATGGACAGCATCAGGCTGTACGCCAAGAGCAGCGAGAAATCGACTCACTGATCCACACCACCAGGATCTACGGCACTGACACTGGGATGTCATTTGGACTAGAGAAGTGTGGCGGATGGTTACAAAGAGAGGGAAGGTCATCCACACAGAAGGTCATCACTCCCAGAAGGAACAATAGCAGACTTCTCTGCTTTACCTACTTTCCAGATGGAAAATCTGCGCTTTCTTGTTGGGTTTTGAACGGACACTTATATGTACCTTCACTGACTGGACTAATGAAAATTTTTTTGTGGGGTTTCCGAGAAAACACAAGAAATTGGGTAGCTTAATTATGACCATTCTTAGTTGTTTGACTCCTAAGGATGTTTAAGAGTTTCGAAATTCATTTTGATTCAATTTAAAATGAACTTTAATGTGTGTAAAAGACTCATGTGTTGTCTCTGCCTGGCAGAGCTTTCCATCCAGAACTGCTTCATGATTGATTTTCTTCTGAGTTGTGCATAATTCATAAATAAACCTGATTGAGTGATTTTACCTCAACAGTGCTTGGTAATAGTTTTTTTTTTCCACAACAATGAACAAAAACATTTAAGGCTCTCAAGTAAAAGATGTGGCCGTTTCAGCTAATGTTGGACCCATGAGCCCATGCTAACATTAGCATATTGCATACTGCAAAGACTTTTGTGTCATCTTTTTAAAGAAAAATCAACCTGTAACCATATATGCGAGTAGTAAAGGCATACATGACACATGAAAATATACTGAAGACGAATAACTCACCTTTAAAGAAGCTCTGTTTCTTCCAATGTGCAAGTCCACAAACGTTCTGGAAGCTTCCCGCACTTTCCAGCTCATGCGCACCGCTGAGCTGAAGCATTCACTCCAGTAACAAAAATGGTCAAATCCAGTTTACTCAAAATAATGTAGTCTTGTGCTTTTCTCAGGCCAAACATGTACATTACTCACATTATTTGAGTTGAATAAACAATTTAGTGAGATTTGAGTAAAGCATAATTCAAGTAAGAGTAGGTATTGCCTCAGTCAAGATACTGCGCAGAACCTCCAGCTCCCAGGCCTCTGGTAGAAGATCTGGATAAAAAAAAGTTATTTTTTTCATCAGACAAGGTGAATTTGCCCTTCATGATACTTTAATCCACACATACAAACCAGTGCCTGTTCGTTTCTGTTTTTGTGAGAGCTTTACTTTCAACATTTTCTTAAAATGAAGCTCCTGCAGTCTCCATTTCTCCTGAGCTGTGTGGTTTGTCCTGTAAAGTCCAAGCATCTAGGTCCCCTGTGGGCCTCTCACTGCATCCAAACTCCATAATGGTGAGCCAAAACCTGAGGAGGCAAAGGTGATGAAACATCCCTTTTTGCCAGGCCGAAAGAGCAAAAAGGAGCGGATCTAAAAGCAATTATGCATGACACGCAGAATGAAGCATGATGAGCCATCGTTCAGGACTTGCTCTCAAAATTTCACCGCAGACATGTAGAGTGTGCTTCTCCTTTAACTTCTTCATTTTTCATTATTTGTTTCTTCTGCCTTCACATTATCCCACTCAACAGATGCCATAGTTTTAAATACGCTTTGGCCAATTGATCTCATTTCTACGTTATGATGGGGGTGACGCATCTTTTGATCGGCCAACGTGTCTGAAGTAGAGATTGATGGGATCGTTGTTGGAAAAGGGGAAAAGGATGATGAGGGCCAGAAAGCCTGAATGACGACGTGTTTAGGGGAAGGTTTGGAGGCGAGGGAGGAAAATTAAAAAAGGAAGAGGGCGAAATCGGGACAATCCCAAGAAACTGAACAAAGACTTGGACAAGGAAAGACAAGAGTTGATCGTAATACAAAGCGGATGAAGAGGAGTGATCAGTGACCCCTTATAGGGGCTGTAGTCAAGGCTCCACTAAACCTCATTTCCATAATGTTTCTCATGGCCCCATTAGAAAAAAGCAGAGGTATTGTTTTGTATTATTCTGGTTTCTGGTTTGGTCTAATGAAGTGCAGGTGTGGCCAATTTTCTATGAAACCACTAAGATTTTTGCCTAGTTGGGCTGGACGGCACGAAACAAAAAATATTAAACACTAAAATTTACCTGAAGAACTTGATGCTGCTTCCTTTCACCTTTTTATTTCTCTTTCTTTCTTTTTCTTTTTTTTTTGACCCTTTTGACGACATTACGTCCCCCCATTCAGCGGCCCGCATCATCGCTCTCAGCAGACACCTGTACGCTAAAGACGCCTCACTTCCTGTTGAGAGCAGCAGCACAGTGAGAATACTCCACCCAGACCTGGGATGAAAACAGAGAGGAGGGGAAAAGAGGATTGCAGCGCCGCATTTGCGCAGATAATCTTCTGAACGAGGCAGGGCGAAGAGAAAAGTAGGAGTTCTGTTAACAAAATGAAGGAGAAAGAGGTGGGGAGGGGGCAAAAAAAGAGCATCATCGAAGATTAACTCTGAAAGGCTCCTGCTACCCAACCAGGTCAGATGAATAAAGAGGTTTTAACCTAATTTCTCACATCCACATGCGCTCTGTACCCTGCGTGACCGACGGGAGACGCTGTGAGGCGGTGACAGTAATCCAGTATTCCAACCTGGAAAAGGAATGCAATAACGTAAAGAAAAAGCAGCTGAATCTATACGCTCAAATGAATATTGTTGGTGCATCGTGATCTAAAATGTCCTCCATTTTCACTCAGTTTTCAATAATTACGTTTTTGGATTGAAAACCGGTGAAAAAGCAAATGAAAATGTGCTGCGTTTGAGCAGGAGTCATGACTCATCACATGGAGAAATGATGGTGGCAGTACAGCAAGACAAAAAAAAAACAAAAAAAACAAGCAAGTTTCAGTAGTTTGTACTGACCCCTCCTGGACAGAGTGGAGAATTACACACAGAAACAAGGTGTAACAAACAAAACTTAAAATGCTTCATTTCACTGTAATGGGATGATGTCAAGCTGAAAAGAAAGAAGGTATGAGTATCACAGCTGTTAACCCTTTGAGCATTGTGAAAGGTTGGAGCGAACAGAGAAAGTTCAGTTTACAGCTTTTATTCAGCAGAATTGCGCAGCAAAGCAGCCATAAAAATATCAATCTGTTACGTTTAGAAAACATTTAAATGGAAGTGAACAGTTTTGTCGTTAACTTTAGAGGGTGAAAAAAGAAACTCCTGAAAGGATTTTAAAAAGTTTGATGTCATCATCTCTGACAAGAGTCCCAGTCTTTGAAAGCTAAACAGACACACAGCATGACAGATCAGTCATCACACTGTTTAATGTCAATTTGCTAAAAAACCACCAGTCATAGCTCCAGCAGATTTAGTCAAATCTGTTTACCCTCACAATGAAGGAGTGAGATCCTGCTACTGTAACTAAAGGTGAATTTAAAGGGGCGGTATCATGGGCTTTCCAGGCTCATCTTGCCATTTTAGAGCACAATCAAGTAACTGTTACCTTCAATTGTTATAAAAAGGCTGCATTTCATTGAGAAGTAGTTAGCATAGTCGATGAGCTGCTCCACCAGATGTTTGCAAATTGCTGCTGGCTAGTCTGAAGGAGCTCAGTGGGGCGTTGTGGTTGAGGGCTCCTCTGTGAGGTGGAAATTTGGAAACTGCAGCTCTGAGGAGGAGCTGAGCCTTGAAGGCGGAGCTAGGTCCAACCAGGCCATTCTGTGCGTTTTCCACGGCTGAATGGTTGCCACGGGAGATTAGAGGATTTCTCAAACATGAATGGAAAAAAAATCAGAGCAACAGTACAGGTATGTTTTGATGATACAATAAAATTATGACATGATTTAAAGCTAAAAAACAAAAAAGAATTTTACAAAATACTGCCCTTTTAAGTGATTTGTATCCATAATGCACAAGTCAGACTGAAATGACCAAACAAATGTAACATGGTTTTATGTTAATTATGACGCTAAGAGGTTGGTCGTAAACCCATCGGATTCATAAATGTTACGAGTATTTAAAATATGAATCCTAGAAGAGATAATCTTTGGGATGTCAGCGTCGGTCTTTTACAGATCAGAAACTGAATGTCTGAGCCAAAGAAAGTGTATCGTGCAGTTTCAGTATTTTTATTAGGCGAAATAGAACACCTATAGAGAAACACTCAGCTTATCTGAATGCAGAACCGTCTAGTCCATCCATTTATTTCAGTCACTTTTATATGCAGCATTACCTGGAACAAAAGACGTAGTTGGTTGTCGTACAAATGTCATTCAGAACGTCGACGTCTGATGAACAACGCAGAAAACAGTAAAAAGTGAAACTTCTCTATGAATCCTATGCTAAAAAAAAAAAAAAAATGTCTCCCACTTTTCAGCCACTCCAGAAAAAAAAATCAAACCATTCAACTAGAGACCTTTGAAGAAAAAAAAGGCTGATTTCTGATTCCTATAATTAAATGCTGATAAAAAAAAGCAGCAACTTTTGCTTTTCTATATTCAAAACCAAAACTTCCCTACGTTTCATTCACAACATAAAAATCCGACTTCCAAAGTTAGAAATACAGATGTTTTAGAGCAGAGTGCGTTTCTAAGCAGCGTGAAGAGAATTTTTTATTATTCCCTTCACACTCGTCTCCAGTCGAGTCATTTGCAGAAAGCAGAATAACATTTTACAAGCTACATTACCTGTGACGCTTCCCGAAAGCAAACATTTTCCACTCCAGTCGACATTTCAGCACATTGCCCTGCACACATCTCCTAACCGGGCACATTCTCCATTTGAATAGAGAGAGAGATTCTCTTCACACTGTGAGATGGAACACAAAAAGCTGCTGATGGGGTTTAATGTGTGCAGTTCAGGTCAAAGGTTAATTTTCACAAGGAACTGCAGCAAGGATGTTTGAAAAACAGGAATCGAGTTTCAAACGTTTTGATTTACCATAGATTTTCTGTGAAAGGTTAAAGAAATATATTTGTTTAACCCGTCATTAGAAGGACCGTACTTAGTCGTCAAAAAAAGGCAGTGGTTTAATTTGTGGCTACATATTTGTAGCTCTACATATCACAAAGTATCTGCAGGGTCTAACAAGTCAAATTTAAGACTGAGACATTTTTAATGCTGCCTTGGATGAAATTTAAGACAAAAAAACAAACAATAAAAAAAGGATAACTACAGGGGATAGTTGGACCAAATTTGGTGTTAAAAATTAACTTGCATTTTGTGTTGACATTCATAGAGAAAAATAGTCAAAGAAAAGACATACAGTACGGACTGAAATGTAGTGGGTCGAGGATGGAGCCCTGAGGAGCCCCTCAGGTGAGAGGAGCTGGACAGGAACTACTGAGAACAAACGTTGGTTGATCATTTTCAAAGTGCTTCAAGGATTTTGTTTTCTACTAAAGCTACTATAAAGAACCTCTTGTTCCCTATTTTAATTCAAGTAACTGGTAGTCGGATTTTCATGAAACAAAAATGCTTTAATGGAGACCTGGAAGGAGTAGTTCAACTGTACCAAATGGAAACTCTGACAAAAGCTGAACAGAGGATATGAACACAACATTATTATTATTTTACTGAAAAGGAAGAACAGATTGTCTGATGAAGGTTGGAGCTGCCTTTAGCTACTGAAATCTAACAACCAGCTTAGCATTCAAGTTCATGACTCTTTTAGAGTCAGACTGGACCTGGGATTGCAACCAACGGGCCGGAGTTGTGCTCCGTTTTTTTGTTGGTGATGATGTCCTGTAAAGTGACGGGCGCCGGCTCATTACTGTCCCTCCGAGGAGCGTGAAGCAAGTCCACCACGGCGCAGGCGGGCTTCAGACGCCTGCGTCTTAGCGCCCGTTTCTCTGCTCGGGTTTTCACCGGAGGGAGCCCGTCGCAGATCCTAGAGCAGGCCGACGTGAGGCCGCAGAAAGACGGGTCGTCGGACTGAGAGGACCCCTCGGAGCTTCCCTCCGACGGTGAGTCTCTGAACACAGGCTGGAGCAAATGTTTTATGAGCGGCGCGGCGTGCGCGGTGACGTCTCCACGGCTACGTCCAATGGCTCCGTTGCACAGTTCAGGAGCGGACTGGAAACATGGTTTCAGTGTCTCCACACGGTCCGGAGGTTTCAGCTTACGCCGCCGCCTCTGTGTGTGGCGAGGAGAGAAGAAGAAGAAGATTAGTGTTTGCGCTTAAATTAAATTTTTATGTAGCAGTGGAATTTATTTTCACACACCTTTCTGTTCGCTGGACAAAGACTGCTGTTTTCCTCGGCGTGTAGCATTCCTTTTAACAAAATAAGAAAGCTCTCTTTATAATCTTGCAATTAATCCATTCTCCTGGTTGCATAATGTCATATAATAATGGTTTCTGCAGGTTTCACTGACTCAAATTTAAGGCTTAAGATCTTTTTTAAAACCACAAATGGAATTTAAGACCTTTATCTCCTCAAAAAGGTATGAACTTCATCTAGCCAACTGGCAATAAATTTGCATTTATTCATCTAAGAAGCTAGCTAGCTAGCAATGGTATGCTAGCAATGACTTACCAGTAGCCTCAAAAGCCCTGTGAGAAAAAAAATTACATGTAGAACATACGAGATTAAATAGTCCTGCCAAGACATAATTTCAGACCTGTGGTTAACATATTTAAGGCCAACTTACATTTTGTAAATGGATTTAAGACGTTTTAAGGCCTTAATTATAGATATACGAATTTAAGACTTTTGAAGACCTTTTTAAAACCACAAATTGAATTTAAAACCTTTTTCTCCAAATAGATGTATGAACTTTGTCCAGCCAACTGGCAATACATTTGCACTTATCCATTACAGAAACTAAAAAGCTTGCTAACTAGCTAGCAAGGGTGTGCTAGCAGTGACTTACCAGAAGCCTCAAAAGCCCTGTGAGAAAAGAAATTACATATAGAACATACGAGATTAAATAGTCCTGCCAAGAGAATTGGCAGAATATGTGATTAACGTATTTAAAGCCAAATTACGAAGGAGTTTAAAACCTTATAAGGTCTTAGTTTTAGGCCTTATAATGAATTTAAACCTTTTTAGGGTGCGTTATCCCCCTGATAATCTCACCTTCAGCGTCGGGCAACTGAAAGCTCTCAGAGTTTATGAGTGGATAAGATGCCCTCCTTTTCAATCCCATCTCATCGCAGGGAGGATACAGCCTGTTGTGCAGACAGAGAAGTCATGGTTGAAACAGAAGCATACAGTAAGCACATCACCTTAAAAACAGAGTTTTGCATTCAATCTCACAACGCTACACTTTTTAAGTGTAATAAAAATCCATGGCAGTTTGAAATGAAATGAGCACAAGCGTCTTTGGCCTATTTAAATCACTTATGGACGCCTTCAAATGAGAATCATATGTTAGGCTCATAATCGACATTGTGCTCGTTCATTGTACCTTTCGGGACTGCAGTAGGTGGGACTTTTGGTGCTGGGTGGTTCCGGATCCGCAGTGGGAGGAACGGCGATGCGGAAGTGGTTGACGCACAGCAAAATGCCGAGACATACACACAACACGAGAGAGAGCAGCAGGTAACTCTGCCTGTCGGACACCTGGAAGACACCGGCAAGAAGCAAATCGGTCGCAAAGAGGAAGCAATAATATTCCACGCACTTTACGAACATGGAGAAAATGCGTTAGATGTGAGTGAATTTGTCTGGAATATCTGGAAAATCTGTCTTTCTGCATCCCAACCTGGCAAATTAAACTGACTAACTGTCCTCAGTTGTACCAGGTTAGTAAAGCTGTGATTGCAGATGAAGGCTTAGTGCCGGCGGCGCTGCGTCTACCTCATTCTGCAGCTGGCTGACTCGGACAGACAGGTTGAGAACCAGCTGAGTCACGTTCTCCAGCTGACCCTGCAGCAACTGAATGGATTCAGTCTGACGCAGGTCCTATAACAAGACCATTAAAAAAAAAAACAAGAAATAAAAACACAATGAACAAACACCCTGGAATCATAACCAGCAATATGCATATTTCAAATCAATCTATAAGAAAGGCAGAGAGGATGCCAGAAATTATGCTTTTGTGCTTTTAAGACTCGGTAAAAAGAAGTGTTCCTAACCCCTAACCCTAACCCCCAACCCACTGCAAACAGACCTACAGAAAGATCCTTACAGCAGGGTGTCGGCAGGGGTCACCGATTCAAATTTAGCATATTTTAAGACCATTATGAATGAAATTTAAGACCTGCTGTATCACAACAGAAACCTATAGAAGAAAATCACATAGTCTTAACTCTTGCAGCGCCAAGCTTTTTCATACAGAAAGCACCAACCTTCATATGAGTTGGCAACAGAAGTAAGTCAATAATAAATATCATCCACCCATGACAGATGCAAAAAAGCGACGTAGCAAGAGTATATTAGCAGCTAGTCACTGGAAGGTAAAGGAATGGTCAACTACAAACAGCAGAGTGACAATAAGTAGTGTGGTGTTTAAGATGGACATGAACCTGCATGTCATCTGCAAAAAAAGGGAAGGAAATTATGTTTTCTAAAAAGTGAGTGAAAGAAAACAGAAATGATACAGATTTAAAAGCAGTGGCCCTAGCATGCAGCCCTGAGAAACATAAACTCCTGACAAACCACCATTTGTCAGGTAAAATCAGATCCTAAAGTTTTAAAGTATAAATAATTCCCAAATCAACTTTTTTTTTTTTTTTTGCTGATAAACTGTTGAAATAGGTTATTTAGGGTTCTTTATGTTTCTGTGCAAATTTTGACATTTTCAGGCAAGTTTGCTTCGGATCTATAACCGTTTTGCTGCCGGCCTCTGGTTGATTGGTGCCTATGCAGTTGAATTTTCCTATTCCTTGCAGCAGTTCAGTTTGGTACAACTTTGTCACAGCCCTGCGTTCAGGTCTAGAACCATCTCACTCCGCCCCTGTCTGGCCAGCTGGTCTTTGCTAGCCTTTTCTTACCTGCTCCTCTGCTATTCTGGATGTGTTTTGGAGTTTAATGATGGTTTTGTTGAAAGCTCTTTGCATCTCCTCCATCTGCTTTCGGTACCTTGAATTACAAACAAATGAAGTTTTAAAACCCCTCTGATGCTTCAGAGATGAGAATTGCAGAACAGCCTCTTGTAGAGTCACCTCTGGCTAAGCTGTTCCAGGTAGCGCCCGCTAAGGGACATGTTCACCTCCAGCGCCTTGATCCGGTTGTTCAGTCTCATGAAGACCGACTCCTTCTGGCTGGATCCGTGCACCTGGTTTCCATTTTGCTCCGTACCGTTAAAGGGCTCTGCGTAAATGTCTAAAAGAGACGATGAGGTAGGAGAAGTGCTGGTCGGAACAGAAGGACGAAACAGCTGGTCTTGGCCCCCCGATGGAACTGGAAATTCCTCCGCCGGGTCGTCCATTTTGGCGTCAGTGACGGGACTGGGGGCGGGTTCGGGTTCTGTGGTCATGTCAGCTGCCTTAGGGGGAACCTCAGACGAGGTAGGGAGACTCTCCAGCGGCTCAACCTGGTTCTTTGAAGAAGCGGATGAGGAAACTGAAGTCTGATTGAGGTCATCCTGAGTTTTGTTGGAGGCTCTGGTTTCCTCCTGTGTCGGCTCAACATTGGGTTTTTCCTCTGTTGGATCGTCATCTGCTGAGACGCTGGGTTTCACCTCCGCAGAGCTGCCGCTGAGAGAGCGCGAAGGCTCGACGAGTTTCTCCTCTGTCGACACGTCCTGGCTTTTTTCAGGCCCCGACTCGTGGTTTGGTTCCTCAGAGGAGACGTCTGGCGTTTCTACGACAGGCGTGGCTTTGGCAGACGAAGACTCGGTGGCGCTGGGTGTGGGGAGGATCGGGATCTGACTGGGCTCCAGGTCGTTGTGCTCGGACACGGATCCCTCTGGGTTCTCTGAAGGCGGTGCCACCTCTGCGTCCGTCGCGTCTCGATCTGACTGCAGCTCAGAGTCTGGATCTTTCTCGTCGGACCAATCCGCCTCGCCGGGATGAGGCCGAGGCTCGGGTTGGGCAGAGGAGAAGGGCGGGGGCGGGGGTGTCACAATAGAGGGGATTGTTTCAACTATGTCCACTGTTTGGCAAGTCCTCTTTCTGGACAGGGAAGCTGAACACTGCTGCAGGAGAAACTCCTGGAAAGAAGTGGTGCAGGAACAAGAGGAAGAACGCGCAGGGCAGTATTCTAGGTTTTCTTCATCCTGCTCCTGATGATCCTTTTTGTCGTCTTCCAGCTCCTCCTCCTTGTCAAGGAGAATGATTGTGGAGGCGATTGATTCATCCTCTTCTTTCCCCAAGGGAATGACGATTTTCTCCTCCACTAGGGGGAGCTTTTCTTCACAATTGTCAGGAGTTGATGTGTCTGGAGCAGATGAGTCGGTTAAACCCTGCATGTCTGCAGCGTCTGGACTGGAAACACATCATGAAGAGGAAAACCATTCTACATTAGATACAGCGACATGAAGGCACAGAGTAGAGGACTTCAATGATAAAAATACTTTACAGTCATCATGAAATATCAATAGAGTACACCATGGAACTGTCTTTGTAGTATAAAGGCAAGCGATAAAAGTTTTTATCCACCTTAAACATTTTTGTTAATTCCATTCTTCAGCCTTTTCTGAAGAATGTGTCACAGACTGCCACAATATGTTGCATATTTGTGAAGTTATTACATTTTTGAGTCAGTCAGATTTCAGTATGTTTTCACACCTGACTGTCTGCTACACTCGGTGCTATTTTCAGCTGCTGCGGTTCACCAGCACTGCACCGTGTCAAGCCAATCAAATCCTTTGAAAATCCTGGTTCTTCTCCTCACTTGTGGCGTCGCTGCAACAGGAACCGCTGATCATTTGATTTTGGTTCCCAATAGTCCAGCCTACTGGACTATCAGGTGAGAAAACACCAGAAGTCTAGACTTTGACTGGGCCATTCTACCATGACGATGCTCCGTATTCTAGGACTTTGGCAGGTTCTTACACAGACACGAGGTCAGTGGTCGTAGTTTCCGTGGCAGCTTCAGGTTGTTGGGATTGTTCCGTTATGTTCACATCTTGAGATGAAAGGTTGCCTTGGAAAAACAAGAGAGGCGTTAATAATAACCAGCTGTAACCATGACGTCACTTACTGACACACAGAAAGAAGCTTCACAGTGTGCTGAACATCATAGATATCCGTTTTAGTTAGAGGGAAGCAGAACGGATAAAATCAGTAGAGATCTTGTTTATACCTGTTGTCTCCTGATTACCTCCAAGGACAACAGCAATGTCCTTCACCATGTTGAAAATGGCATCTGAGGAAACAAAAAACCCAAAACGCTACGGTTACCAGACTCTGCAGCACGAAGCTGTGAGCTCTTATTAACGAGATGTAAGCCATTAATACAAATATTGAGTTGATTAAAGACCTTTTGCTGATCCAATCAGATTCTTGGACTTGTCTTCTCCAGGCACACCTCCAGGAGGATAATCTGAAATGAGAATTCAAAGCTCAATGAGATTTAAAATAAATAATTAATTTAATAAAACATTTTACAAAACCAAAAATACTCATAATTAATCAAGTGATTTTTTTTTAAATTATGCATTGTTGTTTTTTTTATTATTATAATAAAAAATTTGAAAATTTGGTTTCTTCCCAATATTTAACACAAAAGTGTAACTAACAGACAGCGACTGTAATCAGCTCTCTGTCCAGTCATGGCGAATCATTTACTAGTACTTGTAGTAACAGAGGAAGATGAAATTATCTCATTTACTGTATATTACTGATGCACTGATCCACGTTTCTTCATTTCCGATACAAGTATCGGCCGATATCGATCCGATACAGAAAAACATCACTGAACTGACTTAAAACGCTTCTTTTTTTTCACAGTCATAAATGTAATGAATTACAAATTTATGTGATGCACCAGTAAACCAATAGGTGGTCAAACATGAAAAACAACAGAACTTTAATTTGTGTAGTCAGTGCAATTAGGAGTAAAACAGCCAATGTAAAGTAAACTAACAAAAACAACAGGTTGACTACTTTGGTCAAACGTAAAAAAAACAAAAAAAAACAAAACAGACTGCAACAAATCTTTCTTCTAATTGTTCAGAAAGTGCAATTAGGAATCCTAAATAAAACGTAAAGTAAATAAAGTGTGATGTCGCTCAGATTACAAAGCATAATTAATAGATGTATAGATCTACCTTCATGTATACTGATATTAATATCAGATCTATGCATCTCTGCTATACAGTAAATGTTTGAGTATGCATAGAATTGTTTGTTAATTTTTATTTTAAATTAAGACAAAAACAAACAACAACTAAGTTCCCAATGGATTGTGTGGACAGTCTGATCCTACCTAGATCATCGTCCTGATCTTCTGGTCTCTCTGGAGGATCAGCGATCTCGTATTCTTCCACCATGCTTGTTCCAAACACCCTGACAAAAAAAAAATTTAAAAAAGCAAATCGAAACATTTCTAATGCAAGAGAGGAAGCGGCCTCCAGTAAGCATGTAATTAAGGAAAATGGCTTTACTAATGTTCAGCTCGCCAGAATATATACCTGCAAACACTTGAGAAACAACAGTCTACTTCCTTCCTCTGAACTATTGTAATCAATATTTAATGCAAACCTCCCATGTGCTACTGTACTACAGGTGGATTTATGTTCACACATTCAAAAGGTGGGAAATGAAGTACACCCATGTATTTACAGAAAACCACGGTAAGCAGAGGTGTGATAAAGGAGATTAAAAATACTTTCTGTGAACTGAGTTCAGGTTGTTCAGTAGGCAACTAGCAGGTTTCTGGAAAACGTTCTTCAAGCTCAGGAAGAAGTTTCTATTAGTTAGTAACAAGTTCATCCTAAGTAGAGGAATTTGTAAATGTGTACAATATCAAACAGAAGAAACTTCAGCTATACAACTTCTAATACATGCTTGTTTTTATATTTGTCTTGTTTTTTTAAAAGCATCCAATTAGAGCTATGTTGTGTGTTGCAGCTGGGAATGTGTTGCTCTTTCAGCAAATGGTCTTTGTTGAGTCTGTACACTCATGCATAACGTTAACGATTAATCGATTATGTAAATAGTGATCACCTAACTTAGTAATCAATTCATCACGATTAATCATTTCAAACCTACTCCCAATGTTTGTTGTTTCTTTCTTATTCTTCCTGCTAACACTAATCTGAAAGCTGACGTACCTTATGAGACTAAGGGGACAGAAATGTTCCGAACCGAAGTGAGAGAGCAGCTCCACCTAAAAAACCCAGAAACACAGATTATCCTTTAGATTATCTGGTAAAGATGCCCTGAACAAATCAGAAATGTCTGACTTGGCTTTGCTGAGAAATCAAAGAAATTGCAGCGAACAAACTGGCTGGAGTGAATAATTCAGAAGACATGACAGATGATGTGTTTGATTAGAATGGCTTTAGGAAATACTAGCTAAGATTTCATTCTAGTAAATGATTCGTTTACTAGGATGGAAGTCAGACAATCATCCTGTTGATGATGAGAACAGCGTGCGCTACAAGAAGATCAGGCTAACCTTTATGTACTTGGTGAACATCTGAGGCGAGAGAAAAGAGAAGGGGAAAAAAAGGAGAAAAAGATTAAGGATATATAGGCATGCTTACAAACAGGACGACATAAAGAGCTCAGCTCTAATGAATAACAGCAGGTGAAGCGATGCCACTGTTTCACCGCGAGAGACCAAGCCACAAAGCATGCTTTTAGAAAAATGTGCAATACAAGCAACACATAGAGACACATAACTGCTCATCAGAAGCAAATAAAATATCTTATAGAAAATTCAAAAGCGGCCATTTAAAGATATTTAACATGAATTATTGCAAATAATAGAGAATCTATTGGGATTTTTTACTGTTCTTTACATCAACAAAAACGCGACGAAGTTTTGACAGCAGTTCTGCTCACCTTCACGTATTTAGCATAAAGATGCTCGTCCA